TTTTAAGTTATTACAACTTAAAGTTAAATAAGTTAGTATAGTATTTTTGTATAAAGCATTAGTCAGTGCTTTTTTTGTTAATTTTTTCAAGTTATTATTATAATATTAATATTAATAATTCATATAATATTTATTTAGAAAATTTTTTTATTATACAAATTAGTTAAGCAATAAACAATAATACAAATTATAATATGTATTTATTATAAAAATTTAATACAAGATTTATAAAAAACACTATTATTCAAATATTATTTATTATAGCATTATTTTCTTCACTATTTTCACTTTTTATATTGTGATGGAGAGTCTTGGTTATCATGATTTGCAATATTTTGCATTCTAATTAGATCATACATGATTACTAAAATTAAAATCTATTAAATTTAAATAAATAAATAAATTTATTTTAAAAATAATATCAATATAATAATTATTAATATTTACCAGGTTTTAACCAAAATTGTGTAGCAAATTCTTCATAATACTTTATTCCAGTTCTTGTTTTTTTACCATTTGCATTTCCTTCAATATACAATTTCATTTTCTATAATAAAAAAAATTATTAAAAAAATATTTTTTTTTTTATACCAAATTAATTAATTACCTTGTAATCTCTTAATAGTCCATTAAACTTTTCTTTACACTGTTGGCCTGTATAACTAGTGCCAAATTCAATATTAATTTTGCTTGCTATTCCTTTCCAGAACATACCTTTCTGGTTACAAACAAGTTCATGATATTCATTGTTATTGTCTTTTCTATAATCAATCAAAACATGCAATTGTAAATCAGTCCACATTGAAGATAAATTTATCATGAAATTAATTATAAAAAAAAAGAAAAAAAAAACATTTATATAATTTTAGTAAATTAATTACTTCATTATAAATTATGCGTTAATTTGTAAATAAATAATATAAACATACTTAACATTAAGCTTAACATTATGATCACATTATTTAACATGATGTAAGTTTTAAATTTTAATCTGACGCAACTAGAACTAAAAATGATCTATTAAAATTATAATTGCTTGACGAAACTATGTGATGAAATAAATTTGATTATACAGTATATACTTACGACTAACAACATGAAAATTGTCGCATAGAGTGATTTAACTTTTTACATAATAAATAATTACAGTATTTGGATAGAATTTTTTGTTTTAGCTACTTAAACGTCATTACACACTTCATGAATCACCACTTTTACATAAGAAAGCCACAACATACCTAAGCTTCAAAACAATCTCCAAAATAATAGGTTTAATTTTTCATCACGCACTATTAAGCCAAATCGATTAGTTATACATGTTAAATTTTGAAATACAAACTCAACATGTTGATTCGGTATCTCTAACAAAAGGTAAAAGAAGTAAACTTTCAGTTGATAGATGTTCTGCACCTTCCAATGTCAGTAAGACATGACTTTATATTATAATGAATTTCCATTACCGAGTGCATGGATTATTTCATTAGAATTACAAATGTAGATCAGAATACTGTACTGTATAGTGTTATTTTTGCAAAAAGTTTCGACAAATGCTTTTCCCTCTTTAGATCCGAATCAATTATTGTGAAGTTCTAAAGATATTAAAATATTATTCTTGCAAAGTGCATTTGCTAATACTTTTCCTCCCTCAAGACTAAATTGATTAAAACCGAGGTTCAAATGGGTCAAATTAATGTTTTTGCAAAGTGCTTCTGTGAAAATTTTTGCTCCTTCAGGGTCAAGATTATTACTACTAAAATCCAAGGAAGTTAATGTGTTATTTATATAAAGTGCCTCTACCAATACTTTTGCTCCT